TCTCACAGTTGCAGGAAATAGTATAACCTTGTCTGATGTGCTTCTAAAACATATAAAGAAAAAATACTTGGGATCCCTGAGTGGCTCAGCGGGTTTAATGCCTGCCTTCACAGCCCGGGGCATGATCCTGGAGTCCCAGGATTGAGTCCCATGTCGGGCTCCCTGCATGGAGCCTGCTTCTCCCTCTGCCTGTGTCTCTGCCTCTCTTGCTCTCTCTCTCTCTCTCTCTCTCTCTGTGTGTGTGTGTCTCATGAATAAATAAATAAAATCTTCAAAAAAAATACTTAAAGCAATTATGCAATAAATAGGGAGCAATTGGTATCAACATACATTGGTATCTGCTCGTTATAACTAAGGTATTTTGTGTTAGCCTCATGATAACCAAAAAGCCAACAACTATAGTAGCTATACAACAGATAAAGAGAAGGGAATCAAAGCTTAATACTACAGAAAATCACCAATTTACAAATGAAGTCAATAAAGGAGGAAACTGAAAAACTCATAAAAATGTAGAGATTGAACAGAACACTCCCTGAATGGATCACAAAAAGAAATTAAAAGGGGAATTAAAAAATATTTTTAACAAACAAAAGTGGACACACTATAAACCAAAACTTATGGAATATGGCAAAAGCAGTTCTAAAAAAAAGTTCATGGTAATAAACACCTACATTAAAAAATGAAAGATCTCAAACACCTAACTGTATATATCAAGCAGCTAGAAAAACAACAAACTAAAACTAAGTTAGCAGAAGAAAGGAATTAACAATGATCAGAGCAGCAGTAAATGAAATAAACACCAGGAAAACAAAAGAAAAGATTAATGAAACTAAAAGATTGTTTTGTGAACAGTCAAAATTGGCAAAATTTCGGCTAGACTAAAAAAAAGAGAAGACTCATATAAAGAAAATCAGAAATGAAAGAGAAAACATTTAAATGGGCATCACAGAAATACAAAGATCCTAAGAGACTACTATGAACAATTATATGCCAGCAAACTGGGTAACCCAGAAGAAACTGATAAATCTACAGAAACAGAACCAAGTATGACCAAATTAGAATTAAAAAATCTGAACAAACCAATAATGAGTAAGAATGATGAAAGGAAAACCCAGGACCTGATGGTTTTATTGGTGAATTCTACCAAACATTTTAAGAAGAATGTTCTTCTCAAACTCTTCTAAAAAATGGAGGAGGAGTGAATACTTTCAAAGTCACTTTATAAGGCCAGCATTACAATGATACCACAGCCAGACAAGGGGTACCAACTGCAAAAATCAATAAGTGGGGCTTCATCAAACTTACTTCTGAACAGCAATGGAAACCATCAACAAAATAAGGCAACCAACAGAAGGGAAAAAATAATTGCAAATCATATATCTGACAAAAAATCCAATTTAAAAAATGGGCAAAGGATCTGAGTGGACATTTTTTCCAGAGAAGACATATAGATGGCCAACAGATACATGAAAAGATATTAACATCATAAATTACCAGGGAAATGAAAATCAAAACCACAGTCAGAGATCACCTTGCACCTGTCAGAATGGCTGTCACTCTAAAAACAAGAAATAACAAGCTCTGGCAAGGATATACATAAAAATGAATATTTGTGCACTTGTGCACTGTTGGAAATGTAAGTTGATGCAGCCACTTTGGAAAACAGAAAGGGGGCTCCTCTGAATATTAAAAAATAGAACCACCATAGGATCCAGCAATTCCACTTCTGAGTATTTATCCAAAGAAAACAAAAACAGTGAATTGAAAAGATGTTTGGTACAGCATCATTCACAATAGTAAAGACACAGAAGCAATCTAACTAAATGTCCACGGACAGAGAAATGGATAAAAAAAAATGTGGGGCATATGTACAGTGATATATTACTGAGTCATTGAAATGAATACCTTGCTAATTGCAACAACCTTGAGAGATTATGCTAATTGAAGTAAGTCAAAGAAAGACAAATACTGTATGATCTCACTTATATGTGGAATCTGAACTCAGAGAACAGATTGGTGGTTGCAAAGGCAGCAGGAACAGGGTGAGTTAAGGAGGAATGGTGATCAACAGGTACAAACTTCCTTAAATAATAAGTAAGTCTTGGAAATGTGATGTACAGCACAAGGACTATAGTTAATACTACCGTACTATACATTTACAAGTTGTTAAGATAGTAGCTCTTAAAAATTTCTAATCACAAGAAAACAATTCTGTAACTATATGTACTGATGGATGTTACGTGGACTTCCTGTGGTGATCATTTCACAATACAAATATTGAATCATTATATGTACACCTAAAACTCATATAATGTTGTATGTCAATTATATCTCAATAAGCAGACAAAAAACCAAAATAACAAAAACAAAGGCAAAAGAAAGAAAGAAAGAAAGAAAGAAAGAAAGAAAGAAAGAAAGAAAAGAAAGAAAGCCAAAGACCAACATCTTTCACACATGCAGATGCAAAAATTCTTCACAAAATACTAGGAATAAAATTTAGTAATATATAAAAATAAACACCATGACCAGTGATGTGTATATTCCAGGGATACAAGTTTGGTTCAGTATTTCAAAATCAATCAATCTAATCCATCATATTAACAGGCTTACTAAAGAAAAAAAAAACCACATATTCACATCAATAAATGCAGAAAAATATTTGACACATTTCAACACCATTTGTGATAAAAACCCTGAGAGATATAGGAATATATGGGAACTTCTTACTTGGTAAAGAGCATCAATTAAAAAAAAAAAAAAAACCCTAGCTAACATTACCCTGAATGCTTTCCCCCCCTAAGAAAGCCAGGATGTCTGTTATCAGTTCTCTTCCTCAACATATGTTGCAAGTTCTAGCCAGTGCAATAAAAGGAAATAAAAAGCATAGAGATCAAACAGGCAAAAATACAACTGTTCCTGTTTGCAGATGCATGAAGATCAGCCCAGAAAATCCTAAGGAATCAATTAAAATAAAATAAAAACCCTCTTAGAGCTTAAAAAAAAAAAAAAAAAAACCTTAGAGCTAGTAAGAAAGATGGGCCTATGAGTAAATCATCTCAATCCATACTACCTCTTTGAAGATAAATCACTGACAGTCCCAGCTGGTCTACACCTTCTTCAGTGTCCAATAATTCTAATACATTCGTTGCTATTGATGCTTTAGTGTTGATAGCAAAGCAAAGGATTCTGCTTATCATTTTCCTAATCTATCTTAATTTTGGGAAGATAAAGCTACAGAAATTTGATAAATGGATCTCTCTTAGGAAGGGAGCCACTTAAAAAAAATAGAACAGCATAAATTACCAAATTCAAGAGCTCCATGTATAATCAAGCAAAGTATTAACATGGCATTTTAAACAGTCCTTTTTATAAAAGATACTCTATCAGATTCTTTCTTCTCCATCACTTATTTTGGTCTTAAAATGGTATTTCTGGAGGCCTAACTATCCTAGCTAAACTAGTACCTTTTCCTGTCTCTCTTCTTATACTCTGGTAAGGTGCCTTGCTTCTAAACCCTGCAAAAGGCTCCTATTACACTGAAAGAAAAAGCCAAGAACCTTTAACAGTCAGGCTCCCCAGACCTTTACTTCTCTAGTCTCACCTCCTCCACTCTCCCTTGCTTGCTCCTGCTCCAGCCATATTGCCTGTCCTCTGGTTCTAACTGCACTCATGAGGCACATTCTGACTCCAGGGCCTTTGCACGGGCTAGCTCTTCTGCCTGGAACATGTTTCCCATTTAAATGCATGGCTAAGCTCTCATCTTCTTCAAGGTTTTGTTCACATGTCACTTCCTCCATGAGGCTTACACCCAGACTACCCTACTGAAAATTATAGAATTCCTCATCTTCTACATCTGACCCATTCTCCTTATTCTGCTCTATTTTTAAGTATTTCCCACCTTCTAACATACTGTATCATGTACAAAGTTATACCGTTCCTGTTCTATGTCTGTTGTGAGGCTTCCACTTCAGCAAAAACAAAGATTTTTGTCATTTTGTTTGGTACCAAATTCCAAGAGCCTAAAACAACACCTGGCACACAGTAGATGCTCAAAAAATACTTGTTGAATGAGCAGAATAAGTGCATGAATGGATTTAACAGGCATATCAACAGTTGCCCAAATTAATTTTAATTTTTTTTTTATGATAGTCACAGAGAGAGAGAGAGAGAGAGAGAGAGAGAGAGGCAGAGACACAGGCAGAGGGAGAAGCAGGCTCCATGCACCGGGAGCCCGACGTGGGACTCGATCCCGGATCTCCAGGATCGCGCCCTGGGCCAAAGGCAGGCGCCAAACCGCTGCGCCACCCAGGGATCCCATTTTTAATTAAATCTCATCAATATGCTGAAAGTAACTATTACAGAGAAAATAAATTTTCACATGCCTTGATGTCAGCATACATGTAGTTCCCTTATCTACACTGTCCTTCCTCACTCCTTACACTCCTTCCCCTATTCATATATATGCTATGCCAGCAAAATCCCAACTAAATGTCACAAACTAATAGGTCTTCCAAAACATCATCTTTGTTAACTTAAACCATGGTTAGGTGCCCCTCCTAAGTACTCTCCATGTACCTATGCTTCTTTTTCTTACAGCTTTTTCATAGTTTGCAAAAACTATTTTTTCTCCAGATCAAAACATGAGCTCATTGAAAGCAGAAACTTTTTTTTTTTTTCAAAGAGAGAGACAGCACTCATGTGCAAGGGTGGAAGGCAAGAGGGAGAGGGAGAGAGAGGATCTTATGTAGGTTCCACGTCCAGCACAGAGACCAATGCAGAGCTTAATCTTATGACCTGAGCTGAAATAAAGAGTTGGATGCTCAACTGACTGAGCCCTGATAGGCACCTCAGGCAGAAACCATTCTTACTTGCTCTTCCCTCAGTGCCACAGAACTCCCATCACATAATACATGACAGGTACCCAATAAATGTTTTGTGTCAATAAAACATTTTTTGAAAAACCTACTCAACTGAATTAATAGTGAATCACAGAAATTTACCTCTTATTTGTTTCCTTAGGTTTTCAATTTCTTCTTTCAAGGTTTTTATTTCTAAATCTTTGCTTGCTGTTAGTGGGCCATCAGCAGTTGAATACTGTAGAGCTTGGACAGTCTGTGTTGACTCTTCAAAAAGAGGAGAACAGAAGAAAAAATGAGAAATATGGTCACACTTCAAGTTTTTTAAAACTAAATATTTCTAGAGAAAAAATGTAATTATACTGATCAAAACATCTACCCATTGACAAAAAGCATATAAATACATCACAATTAGGTCTCAAAACTCCAATGCATGTTTTTTTAAAAGTATAATAGACATAGGAAAGGATCTGCCTACTAACGTGAGATTTTCTGTTTCAAACACTGCACATACATGTGCACACATACTCTCTCCCCTCTCTCAAAGAAAGAAAGAAAGAAAGAAAGAAAGAAAGAAAGAAAGAAAGAAAGAAAGAAGGAAAAGAAAGAAAGAAAGAAAGAAAGAAAGAAAGAAAGAAAGAGAGAGAGAGAAAGAAAGAAAGAAAGAAAGAAAGAAAGAAAGAAAGAAAGAAAGAAAGAAAGAAAGAAAGAGGAAAGAAAGAAACCTAAGTTGGGAGTAGAAACAGGGAGATATAAAAATAACCAGTTGACACGAGTAACAGCTACTTTTTCTCCTAGATTCCACCTCCTGCAGGACTTGGAGGTGGGTAGGCATCCTGGCTCCTCTTTGCTACCTCTGTCTACCCTGTAAATCCCAGTCTGCTAAAATGCCCATTTCTTGTCTGCTGGAGTTATCATCTATTGTTTTTCTTATTCTGTCTTTGACTAACAATTTCACATATTGTTCACTGCTCTTTTCATTGCAACCCTTATTATTCTTAGTGACTTTAACATCACAATAGACAATCCATCCAACACTCTAGCTTCTTAGGCACACATATCCCCCATGTAGACACTGCTGGGGTTTTTGCCCTCCTGCTCATGAACCAAATGCAGGTATCAGGTTACAATGTGCATTGACAAGGTAGGCTGGCCAAATTGGAAGATAGTTTAAATCAATCATGGTGGGCCCATTCTATGTTGCCAGTGCTGGTTAAGAATTAGGGATGTGACCCAGTGAGTATTAATAGTTCCTTGAGAAGAAGTCCACTGGAAGGATTCCTGGAAAGGTATAAATCTTCTACACAGTGAGAGATGAATGAAAGAAGTGAACCTGCTTCTTTTGGTCTCTACATGTGTGCAGACAAGAAGCCGGGAATTTTAGCAGTATGGTAGAATCATGAGAGGAAAGCCATGAGAATCATAGAGAAGCTAACCCCAGTATTGGCACAGTCTACTTCTGACTCCCTACATGAGATAATAAATCCTTATTATTTAAGAATTCTATGATTTGCAGCCCAAAACAACCTAGCTGGTTGACCTCTCTCCAGAAACACCACCAAATCTACTGGTCACACTCTAGACCCGTGATTCTCACGTCGTCGGAACTTAGAAATGTGTATGTGTGTGTATAGAGGGGAGCAAGGGGTGTTGACACTGGTGTAGCTAGGAGATGGCTAAGTGTATTCAGTGTCTGGGAACCAAGAAAGCTCAGTATCTTACAAAATGTGGAACAGTCTCCCCCATCAAAGAATCTCCTTGCCCCAAATGCTAGCAGTCTACCTAGTGAGAAATGCTACTGTACAATTTTCCATTACATAAAACTATATATGGCCTCCTAAATCTTGATTTCAAGTACACCATTCTCTATCTCTTATCTTTACAGGTGCTTACTCCAGGGATCACTTCAGCGATGCTTCATTCCCACCAAGAGATCAAATCCACCATCCTAAGGTTAATCAGTTTTTTTCTCTTTTCTTCCTTACTTACCCAGGTTGGATTCCATGGTCTATCACTACAATACCTGCTTTGTGCACAGACCTTGCACCTCTTTGACCTCTTCTCCTCCATTACACCCACCCTAGAAAGCCCCAATCTTGGCGGACTCTGACTCTCTGACTTGTGCTCCCACCCTAGAAGCTGACAAAGTGGCTGAAGAAAACACAGTCACCTCAAATTCAGGTCTACTGGCATCAAACAGCTTGGCACGACTGGCAGTCCTCGGCTGTGTCCCTAGACCATTTATTCATTCCACATATTCTCTTTTTCTTGTCAATAATCTAATACACTCCCCACTTTCCTCATTCTCAGCTGATGATCTTGCTCTGTATTTGATTTGGCATCTGTCTCCTTAAAAGTAGAATGTAAGCACTGCATGGGCAAGTATTTTTCTCTTTTTCTGCTCACTGTTACCTCCCTAGTCATGTGTAGAACAGGCCCTGGGTCATCAGTGTTCAAAAAATAGCTGACAAATGCATGAAGCAGCTTGAATGAAAACCTATACCACTGCATGAAACAGGAGTTAATACAAAAAGGCAATGATCCCACATTTTCATTATGCTTGCTTTGTGCAAATGATACCAATCACAGATAATGATAGTTTCTAAGGACATGATAATTCAAAACATCAAAAAAGCCTGGTATATAAGAATTTCTCATTCAGAATAGGAAGGAGTAGGAAGCTCCTGGCCTATCACTCCAACCACAAAAAGTAAAAATATGTAACTTGCAAAAATCTTATTTTTAAAGAAGTCATGTATCTAAGAAAGCAAAGAGGACCAAGTACAATAAAACAGAGGGGGATGGACCTTCTGAGGTGGGAACTCTGGCAGCTGCCTCTGACGTCTGAATTTTACCCAATTCTGTAAGCAGGCTTAGACTCTAAGTTGCCCTAAATTGAGGGATATCATGCTGGAGTAAAAACACAGGACAACTTCTGGAGAATGGGTGGGGCTGCCGAAATAATTTGGAAACTTCGAGATCCCTAAATATGTGGTGCTATTTTCATCGTGGTGCATTTGTTGTATCTGGAGAACTGCATAGGAAGTTAGTAGCTTCTAAAATTCAGACTGAAGTCTCCTCCAGTATTAGAGTATTTCAGAAATAAAAGTCTTGCCCAAGGAAGAGAGTCTGTCTCAAATACATGGTCAGTCTCCCCATCAACACATTTGCCAGATAAAGAAATGGCATGAGGTAGGAGACATAAGGGCAGAATAAATTTTCCACAATTGACAGAATGAGGAAGAGAGAGCCCCAGCCAGGCTTTGTCCAGATCTCCTTTTGTATTTGGAAACCAAAGGTAGGCTGAGTTCTGAAAACTGCAAACCAGCCTTGTCCTAGCTCCATTCTGGGTTAGACAGAGCGCCAGGAGAAACTAAAAACTTGTGCTATGGCGCCACCTTCTGGAAAACAAAACAAAGGCTTCTGATTGACAACCTGCTGAACCCTCCCTTAGAATTGAATCCAGGGAGAAAAACTACCTAAACAGGAAAGCTGTTTGCTAGCAAACTCTAAATGTGACAGCACAGGTACATTTCATGATACATTACGAAAAAAAAAATCACAGTAATAAGGTCTCACAAAAAGAAAAGGACTATTCTCCAGCAATCAAATTCAAAGACACGAAACACAGTGTTCTCACTGATAAAAGATTCAAAAATAGTTATAAAGAGATTCAATGACCTACAAGAAAACTCAGAAAAGCAATTCAATGAACTCAGGAATAAAATTAATGAAAGAAGTTAAAATTCTGAGAAATAAACAAAAATTGTGGAGCTGAAGGACTCAATATATGAGATGAAGATGCCCTAGAAAGCACTAGAGAGAGTAGGTGGGATGGAAGGGAGACTCTGTGAGGAAGAACTGAGATTTTTTAAAAGCGAAGAAATGCTACAAGAGTTATTCTACTCCATTAGACAACCAAGCATTAGGAAAATGGGGATACCACAGGGAGGGTTATATAAGACATAATAGTTGAGAACTTCCCAAAACTAGGGAGAGAACTAAACACACAAGTCCACACACCTAAACAGAACACCTTCCTAACTCAATATAAAAGGACTTTCACTAACACATCTTATAACGATACTGTCAAGAGTCAATGGTAAAGAATGTTAAAGGCAACCAGGGAAAAAGGATGTGATATACACTTATGAGAGTATCAGCAGATATCTCAGCAGAGACTACAGACCAGGAGAGAGGGGAATGACACATCCAAAGGACTGACATAAACACCCAGGCCAAGAATATCCCATCTAGCAAAGCTATCCTTCCAATATGAAGAGAGACAAAGGTCAGACAGACAGATAGTAGCTGAGGGGGTTCACCATCACCAGGCCTGCCTTACAAGAAGTGTTGAAAGGAGCTCTTAAAACTGAAATGAAAAACTGAAAGCACAGAAAATTCTGATTAAGATGATAAACATTCAGAATTAGAAAACTGTGACTCCATTTCAGAACAGTGTTACATACCTAATTGTAGCATAAATGCTAAAGGAAAGGGGCATTAAAAATATAACTGGTGTCCCTGGGTAGCTCAGTTGGTTAAATGTCTGTCATTGGCTCAGCTCATGATCTCTGGGTCCTGGGATCGAGCCTCAAGTCAGGCTCCATGTTCAGCAGGGAGTCTGCTTGTCTGTCTTTGCCCCCACCCCCCACCCCCCATCCCTTGCTTTGCTTGGGTTCTCTCTCTCTCTTAAAAAAAAATAACTTTAACTATCATAATTTGGTAACAAATTCATAGCAAAAAAGAGATAAAGCTGTGACACCAGATATATAAAAAAGGAGTCATAAAAGGATGGAACCTTTATAGGTGAATAAAGGTAAGTTGCTTTCAGCAGAGAAAGGATTGGTTTATCTAGGAGACATTTTATACTAACCTCATAGTTAACACATGGCAAAAATTGAGAGCAGAAACACAAAACATAAAAAAAAGGGAAAAGAAGCAAATCACCACGGAAAACCACCAAATGGCAAAGGTAGAGAGAAACAAAAGTTAAAAAGAAACAATGGAAAGACAAAATAACCAGAAGGCAAAAGATAAAATGGCAATAGTAAGTGCTTAAATAAATATCAATACTCACCCTGAATGTAAATGGACTGAATTCCCAATAAAAAGGCACAGAGTGGCTGGATGGATTAAAAACAAATAAACAAACAAAAACCCCAGGAGGTGCCTGGGTGGTTCACATAGTTAAGACCCTACTCTTGATTTCAGCTCAGGTCATGATCTCAGGGTCATGAGATGGAGCCCTGTGCTCGGCATAGAGCCTGCTTAAGATTCTTTCTCCTTCTCCCTCTACTCTTCCCCCTCCCCTTGTTTGTCCATGTGCACACTCTCTCTCTAAAAAACAAACAAACAAAAACAAGACCCAAGTATATGCTGCTTAAAAGGACATTCATCGGCTTGGAAGATATACACAGGCTAGAAGTGAAGGGATGGAAGATAATATTCCAAGTATTCAAGCAAGTGAAAATCAAAAGTGAGAACAGCCATACCTACATCAAACAAAATGGACTTCAAGCCAAAAATGGTAATGAGACAAAGATCATTTTATACTGATAAAGGCATCAATATATTAAGAAGATATAATAATTATAAATATATACACTCATGACACCCAAGCACTGGAATATATTCAGCAAATACTAAGAGATCTTAAGGAAGAAACAGACAGTACAGTAATGTTAGGTGGCTTCACTACTCCACTATTAGTAATGGATGAACCATCCAGACAGAAAATCAGCAAGGAAATGTTGCAATCGGACCCTATTTTAGAACAAATGGACTTAAAAGGTATTACAGAACATTCTACCCACCACCAGCATAATAAACAGATTTCTCAAGTGCACACAGGACATTCTTCAAGACGGATCATATGATAGGACATAAGAAGAAATTATATCATCTTTTCTGACCATGATGGTATGAAATTGAAATCAACAAGAGGAAAGTGAGATCTACAAATATGTGGAAATTAAATAATTCTAAACAACCACTGGGTCAACGAAGAAATCAAAAAAGACATAAAAAGTTTCTCAAATGACAACAAAAATACAACATACCAAATCTGTGGAATGGATGGAATAAAGCAGTTCTGAGAGAAAGTTCAAATGGATGGATTAAAGCAGTTCTGAGAGAAAGTTCAAGCAACAAATGTACATATTAAGAAATTAGAAATATTTCAATTAATCTAATTTGTACTTCAAGGAACTAGAAAAAGAATAAATTAGCCCAAAGTGAGCAAATGAGAAGAAAAAATAAGGTTCAGAGCAGAAACAAATAAAACAGAGGCCAGAAAAACAACAGACCCCAATGAAATGTTACAATGCTCATACCTGTCAGAACAGCCATCAAGAAGAAGACAAGAGATGACCTGTCATAGATGCTGACAGGGATGTAGTGAAAAGGGAATCCTTGTATGCAACTGGTGGGAATATCAACTGGTTCAAACACCACTGAAAACGTTATGAAGTTTCCTTAAAAACTTAAAAATTGGGCAGCCCAGGTGTCTTAGTGGTTTAGTGCCGCCTTCAGCCCAGGGCATGATCCTGGAGATCTGGGATCGAGTCCCACGTAAGGCTCCCTGCATGGAGCCCACTTCTCTCTCTGCCTGTGTCTCTGCCTCTCTCTCTCTCTCTCTCTCTCTCTCTGTGTGTGTGTCTCTCACGAATAAATAAAATCTTTAAAAAGAAAACTTAAAAACTGATCTGCCAGACCATCCAAAAATTCCACCTCTGGTTAGATACTCAAAAGAAATGAAAGCAGGGTTTCAAAGAGATATATGTGCCCCCATGTTTACTGAAGCATTATTCACTAAAACCAAGATATGGAAACAATCTGAAGGCCCATGGGGGCATATGTCCACAATGGAATGTTATTCGGCCATGAGAAAGGACAGTATCCTGCCATTTGTGACAATACAGATGGATGGACCATGAGCACACAACGCTCAGTCACAGAGAGAAAGATAAGCACATGTGATGTCACTCATATATGAGATCTAAAAAAACTTGTGAAAAACAAAGAGTAGAGTAGAACTGTAGTTACCAGGGGACAGGGCAGGAGTGGGGGGATAAGACTGATCTCGTCTAAGGGTACCAACTCACAACAGGTAGTAAATAAGTCACAGAGATCTAATGCAGTGTCATAATACGGACAAAAACACTATACACAGGGGTACACACATTATCTAATGTGACAATCTCATTACGGTATACAAACGTATCAAATTAACAAGTTGTATATCTTAAATTTACACAATGACATATGGTAAAGACATTTAATTAAAAATCAAAACAAACAACTTGCAAGGAAGAATACACATACACAAAAAAAGAAGTAATACACATGCACAGATCTTAGCAACTTATTGAAAAATAGAAAGCGGTCTGTTTTACTGACGTCTGTAGTTTTTTTCTCTACTGGTATACCAGCAAAACTTTATTGTAAAACTTTGACTCTTTCTCTCTTAAAAGCTACAAGCTTTTTGATTATTTATACATACATTCCTTCATTCACAAAAGAAGTAAAATAAATTGTATGTTATGTCCTTTATTCTGGAGAAAATACAGCAGGAAAGGGGGACAGGACAGTAAGTGCTGGAGATAAAGCAAGATTAGGTTTCAAACAGAGTGGTCAGGGAAGGCCTCACTGAAAGGTAACACTCGAGGAGAAGCCTGAAGGAGATAAGAGAATGAATCATGTGAACACCAAAGGAAGAAAATTTAAGGCAGGGCAATAGATGGGTCAAAGGCCCTGAGGTGGGGACATGCCCAGTTTGTGGAAAGAACAGCCAAGGAACCCAGGGTGGCTGAAACAGAAAGAGCAATGGGAGAAGAGGGAACAAGGTAAGGTGAGGGAAGCAGCTAGAAAGCTATTAAGAGAAGGCAAGAGACAGTGGTGCTGATGTGAACAGGGTGGTAGTGCAGAGGGAGCAGTGATCAGACTCTGGATCTTCTGTGATGGCAGAGCTGTCGGGGTTTGCTGGCAGATGAGTCATGAGGTGTGACACAAGGAGAGGGCTTAATGATGCCTGGAAGGTTGTAGCTCTCAGCAGTCAGAAACTGGACAACTCTGCAGGACCTGGACATTCAGAGGTCAGAGAGTCCAGGAAAACTCAGGAAGCAAGACAGAGTAACTGGTTTGTGAGGAAAAAGAAAACCAGGAGATTCAAGTGTCCCAGAAGCCAAAAGCAGAAAGAGCTGTCAGGAGGGGGACAGACAGCTCAGTCAGAGGCTGACAGGTAAGAAGGTGCAGCCTGAGAAATGCTCCCTGAGAGTCGCCTGGAGACTCATGCAGGTCAATCAGAAGTGCCACCAGTCAGTACCTGACCTGTCCCAAGTACAAGACCTCCAGACACGTGGTTGCAGGCACCTTAGCAGGCAAGGGAGTGGGACAGACAGAGCAATGGACATGAGGATCCATCGAAGGTTGGCACGAGGCATAGGTGACAGTGTAGCTGAAGGAAGGCAGGAGGTGCCTGGAACTAGCCCACTACCAACAGGAAAAGATGCAGGGCTTGCTTGAAATGGAGACTCATAAAGAATCTCAGATACTGCAATGTCAAGACCCAAGCAGATGAGGTCAGGCAGAGGACAAGATTCTTGGACGTGTAAGGGACCAAGAGAAGTCATGTGCAGTTTCCAGTCACCAGGTATCACAACAGGAGTGCTCGTGCAGAGAAGGCCAGTGTTTGCCAGGAAGTTGTGCTTGCCAGGCTAAGGAAATAAGACAGTGACACAGAGCGCTACCCTGGATGGGAAGGGCTCCTTTCTCCCAATGAGCCCCATCTCATTCTCCCAGGGGGGTGTTCCCAGGCACACATACCCAAGGAGAGATGATCGATGTGTTGTGGGTTACTGCTCATATCATGAGTCTACATAAACAGTATTACTTTGCATTCTGCATAAGTATCTTCAATTGCATGTGTTTCACCTTCATACAAAAATCTCAAGTTACAACGACCCCCCATAATCAACAGTTCTTCAAACTCTGAGTCCAGCCCCCAAAAGGGAAGACGCCATCGTTATAACATACTTACCTTGAAGCTTCCGACTCAGCTCCAGCTTCTCCTGTTCGAGGCGCTTAATTCTCCTCTCATATGCCTCAGTGGCCAGGTTGTTGTCTAGAGTCCGCTGGACACTGACGTCAAGGTCCAGGGATGCAGGACCAGCCGTGACCCGTAAACAGCTCCGATCAGAAAGAACACTGAAGAAACAGACAAATGTGAGTTCACACAGAAGAGAAAGTCCGAAGAAGCAAAGAGAGCCTCCTGCAGCTGTCTGTTTAAAACATGGACTTTAATACCTAGCTACAGGTAGCCATCTCGGGAGACAGGAAAACACACTGTTGGCAAAACTCAACACAAACCACTTTTTAGAAGCATTTTTTAAAAATGAGAAGTAGTCCCAATTATTTTTTTATTTCAATAACTGCATATTATAAAATGATGTTCACTGAAAACAAGGTGACCACGTAAGTGAAACAGGAGTCACAAGCACACACATGGTCCTCTTCATCAGAATTTGGACTCAAAAGTGAAATGCTTCCTTTAATTCAATACAATTTAGCTAAAAATATTTGAAGTGCTGGACATTGAGCAGTGAGCAAAATTGGCACTTGCCCGATTTACAACTTATGCTCCCATGACAGAGACAGAGAAAAACAAAATAAATAAGCAAAATATTCAGGGCATCAGATGGTGCTGAATGCTAGGGAAAAAACTGCAGAGGAGAGGTGAAGTATGAGGGGGAAGAAATAAATCTAGAAAAAGTGGCCAGGAGGCTATCACTCAGAAAGGAATGTTGAATAAAGTCAGGAGGGAGGAAGGAGACCAATCCAGGGAGTAACAGGGGGGAAGAGCATTCCAGGCAGATGGAACAGAAGTAAAAACCCTGAGACAAGAGTATGTCTGACATGTTCATAGGCCAGAAAGAGATGTATGCGCCTCGAGTACAATCAGCAAGGTCAAGAGTAGCGGGAAACAGAAAGATAAAGTGAGCCAGTCATGCAGGGTCTTGTAAGAATGTTGGATTAAGATACAAGCCACTGGAATTGGGGGGCAGTGGGGATTCATCCTGAACAGGGAAGTGACACGTTCTGACTTTTTTTTTTAATTTTTTTTTTTAATTTATTCAGAGAGAGAGAGAGAGAGAGAGGCAGAGACCAGGCGGAGGGAGAAGCAGGCACCATGCGGAGAGCCCGATGTGGGACTCGATCCCGGGTCTCCAGGATCACGCCCTGGGCTGCAGGCGGCGCTAAACCGCTGAGCCATCCGGGCTGCCCCTGACTTATCTTTTAGCAGGACCAGACAGGTTCAGAGAAATCTAAGAGACTAGACTATAAACACTGAAGGAGATAGTTCAGAGAGATTTTAAGTAGGAGAGAGCAGAAGGGTCTCACAGAGGGCAACAGCAAGTATCTGGGAATGCACCACAGTATAAATGGAAATGGACCCAAGACTAAGCCGTGGGGCACAAGAGATCAGGAGATCAGAAGGCATCAGATGCAGAGACAGAGAAGGAGCGGCCAGAAAGGTAAGAAGTCAGGCAAGTGCTCTGGAAGCTAAGAGATGGAAGTGTTGTGATGGGAAGAAGCCATAACAAACCAGATGAGACAAGTGAGACAGGGCTGACTGGGAGTCCCTCCGCCCCCAGTATCATCCACACAGATGAGTGCTCAGGGCCAGAGGCAGGCAGGTGATACACGTGCAAAGGAGCCTGTGAAAGCTGTCTGCCTCAACCTCTCCATGCAAGAGGAAGCGAGATCAGGAGACAGCAGAGTAAGAGGTTTCAGAGGCAAGTAGAGAGTATGGAATAGTTGTCCAGGAGAGCAGGATAGTGAGCACAGGCAGCAAAAAGGGTGCTGGTAATCATGAACATGGAAGGTAAGACTAATAAGAATTGTCAGGTGTTTTTCTCTGGATGCTTTGAACTGCACGGGTTTGGGCAGGAAATTGAACTGTAATGATGATGTCAACTCAGCAAAATTGTGTAAGAGAACAAGAGGCAGGTGAGGCACTGAGGTAGCACACAAGAAGTGATTATTACAATCATACTCAGCCCAAACCGAGGAAGGAGGACCGGGAAGTGGGCAGTGTAATGACAACCCAAGAAAGCATGGCTAGGATTGCTGGTCTTGGTGGTTGGCACCTGGAACATATTTGCTCAATAGCCAGGGACTCTTCTGATTCCTGCTCCACTGCTAAGAGGAAGATTCTGAGCTCTACTTGTCCAAAATGAGTTAAGATTCTCCCATGTTCTATTCATTACAGAACATCTTTTTCCGGCAGTAACTTCAGCCTATATTTAAAATTTTTTTCGACTTATAAGATTCTCTTACATATTTTTTAAAACCACAATTCATCTTAATTTGCTTTAAGTTGTCCAAATTATGAACTGTCCAAATTATGGTAACTTTTCCAACTTACCAGCTACTGGTATATGTGAAACCAACAAATGGCAGGTGGTGGCCAGAAAATGCAGTATGTGTGGGTGGGGGCATCGTTTCCTGAAGGAGGAAAAAATACCTGGTAAGAAATCAGTAACTGTGACCTGGAGGCTGGTCTATAATATTAACTGTCAGTAGCAAATAACATGACTGTTGGATTTAGAAATATAGATTAAGTGTGGTGCAGATGTGCAGTGATCTCTAGAATCCAGACAATGAACACTAACATTCTGATAAAATTAAACTCAAGACTTTAAGTCTGACATTGAGAGCACATGATTATTCATGTATGCATATGTGCAGATTTGCCTCGTCACTAAAAGTTATTTGTAACCCAAATCAATATTCACAGTACTTCTGCAATCACTCACAGACATATCCAAAGGGGGAAAAAAAAAATTGAGCTGCCGGATGCCTAAGTTTCCAGCTGGGCCTAAACAAGGAGATGCTCTGCCTTACAAATACACGTGTGTTAGAGGAGCTTTGCTCAGGCATGAGTCACACTGCTATTCACTTTGAATGTGATGTTAATCAACAATATGTACTAAATAAGGTGTCTTTAAATAGAAACATACATAAAACAAGGTTATGTACTGACTGGCTCATGACATGAAGCGGCTCAGAAGAACCTAACTCTGAAATCCCCCCTATGAACAGGAGTTCAATACTCATACTGTGTACGTGGGAACTTTATTGAACATGTAACTACCGTAATCAGAATCAACTGTGCTACATATTTAACTTGGAATGACCCAAATTTCTGTTTATAATAAGTATAATTCTTTTAATTCCTATGATAACAAACTGATGAGGAAACATCATTTCATTTTTTCTTGGAGGCCCAAAGAGGGAAGCATAAGAAGTTCTTACCTGCCTTACATATGTTACTTACTGGGAGTGAAAAGTGATATAAAATCAATATAAAAATTCTTAGTGCAGAATTAAAATCATAAGAAACAAAATAATGGGTGGGGGGTGCCTGAGTGGCTCAGTCAGTTAAGCCTCTGCCTTCAGCTCAGGTCATGAACTCAGGGTCCTGGGATTGAGCCCACATCAAGCTCCCTACTCAGTGGGAAGTCTGCTTCTCCCTCTCTCCCTACACCTCCCTTGCTTTATGTTCGCTCACTCTCTCTCTCAAATAAATCAATAAAATGTTAAAAAATAAAATAATGGAATAAAAAATAAAGTTCAAATTAAGAAGGCTAAAAAGGCCTTCAACAACCATAAAATTTTATGTTCTCATTGTCCTAAATTATAACAGAACAACCTAAAAGTTTAGAGCAGAGGTTGACGACCTTCGCTGGCTCACAAGCTAAAAAAGGTCAAATGTTTGGCAACTCTGCCGGTTTGCCACTCACCTCAAGTGAGGCTATAACCTCAGGATAGCAAGGCTGTAGATTTATCCCCCATTCACTTCCTACCAAGTCTGCTATTTTTGGTTACACCACCACTGGGCATGGATAGCTCTTCAAATCAAGTCAGCCCAAATAAGCAGCCTCCTGCCAGCAGCTCTACAGTCCCAACCAAGCTGATGGAAGGGGGTGGGGGGGCAGTTTTTAACCAAAGTCTGGTTTCTCCTGAATAAATGCTTCTCAATTTATTTACCTTGACAAGGGTTGAGTTGTCAAGTCCCAAAATGGTTGTTTCTGACAATTCTGTCCAGTATTATGGAGCTTTTTAAGGAGAGATTTGCCAGTCTCTTCACTCTGCCATCATGAAGTCCACTTTTCTAAGCATCTCATTTCCCTGCTTCCTAGGAAGCCTCAAAGTGTAACTGATCTAATTAGCAAATCTGTGAATTTTAATTTTGCTCCTTGTCATGAGTAAAAATCTTCACCTCAGTGAATTCTCCTCATTTTTTGATGTATAAGAGAACAGATACTAGAAGCCATGATAAATGTCTGACTGGGAATTGATAAGGAGGTCCATACATTGCTTTATAACCACATTGGAAAGAATGAGAGGGACAGAATTTCTTTCCAGTGTCATACTTACAGAATTCTTTAAACAATCATCATCCACATCAAAATTCGATGTATCTGTTGGGCTACTAACTTCTGGAATATAAGGTGCTTCACAGTTTCGAATATTATCCCAATCAATTCCATTGAAAAATGGGTGTTTCTTAAAGTCTTCTATTCCATTTTGGCCAAGTCGATGTTCTCGGCTGCAAATGAGCCTACGAATCAGATCTTTAGCATTTTCAGACACATCAGTCACTTGAGCTGGAAACTGAAACCTCTCCTAAACACAGAATAATCAAAACGGAATATAAATCATTATTTAACTCCCTAAGTGGATTGATTGGTATTTACTTTCTTAAAAATGCATTTTCTTTTAAAAATGTCCAATAAGTGTATGCTGGTGCAAAGTTACTCATACTATAAGAGAAAAGAGCACTTTCCTAAAAGAATTTTTTAATTTTATATGTGACTTAGTCACACATGCGCTGTAGAAAGAACAAATTAAATGCAAAAATCCCTCAAACTGTTGTCAGAATGAAGAGGACGTATCAAAAGTAGCATCTGACTCAACATTTCAATCGAGTGCATACAACTGATGAGGGTCCTAGATGTCACAAACTAGGGATTACGTAACAGCAGTAAACACCTGTACAGAATGGACCACACACTTGACTCCTGGATGTGCTTAACACCCGTAACCCTCACAGCAATCCTCTAAGGCAGGTGCCACCATTAGCCTGATTTTACAGAAGAGACACAAGGCCCAGGGAGTTCAAGCAAGCCACTCCTGGTCACAGGATTTCTCTCTGTAATGCTTTCCGTGCTCTTTACAACCCTGCAGATAGCTATTCCCAGTCTTCCAACTCTCCATATCTACTTAGCAAATTATCCTGGCAGCCAGGTATAAGAGGGTCAACTCCACAGAAGGGTGTCAACTGGCTTATTTGTAGGTAAAGCAACTGCTCACAATGGTCTCACCGTCCTCTTACAGGATTTCTATTCCAGGTGTTTGCTCACAATCTTCTGAGACCAATCAGAACCTTCCTCTTTTAATTACAATTTACTCCTATTTTGCTTGGAACTCAATGGATGAAGGTTCTATTAATTTGTTCCTATGGTGAATCTGGATTGTCTTCCCTGTTTTGATTGTAAATAAGACTGGAACAGGTATCCTCGTACATACATCTTGTTTAAACTGAGTATTTCCTTAGGGCAGATTCCTAAAACTGAAGTTGCTCAATCCCAAATTCTAATCATTTTTAAAGGCTCTAGATGCATACTTACAGACTTGTTGACAAGAAGGTCACATCAATATATTTTCCTATCAACAATATCTAACAATGTCCACCTTGCTGGGTTACTCAGAGGACAGAGTATAATTTTTCTTTTCATCTTTGCCAGGGGGAAAAAGAACATCTCAGTTTTATTTTGATTTGCATTTCATTTATTGTGGCTAAGGATGAGAATTTTTTAAATGTATTCTAGTCATGAGTATACTTACAGTAAGGACATAGGTTATCTGCTTACCAACTCTGTTATTCTACTGGAGAGACCATTTAATTTCCTATTTATTAGCATTTCTAATAAAATGTAGGAGACGGTTAGAACTAATAATTTTATGTATAATTTATGGATTTTGATTATTCATATTCATCATGTCCCCTATTAGTATAGAAATTAGAATGCTCATTGTTTTTAAAAAAACATTTTCTTTTTAACTATCACATTACTTTAAATTTATTGTATGTACCATTTACCACATTCATTTGAAAAACAGTAAAATATACTAACTTTATGATTCATGATTTTTCCATAGGTCTCCACCAGAGATTCTGCATAAAATGGTGTTTCTCCATAAAGCATTTCGTACATACAGACCCCCAGAGACCACCAGTCACATTCAGGCCCGTATCTTCCTTTCCCATCTTCCATGGCTTGAAGGATTTCAGGAGAGATATAATCTGGAGTTCCAACAGCCACTGAGGACTGGACCTGAAGAAGTTCACACATTTTTAGTAATCTACTATATTAGAAACAAATATTTTTTAATTAAAAATATTTATACTTACATACACAACAAACATTATTTCAAAACAATTACAATTTTGTCATACCTGAATTTAGCCTCCTTGTACATTAGTTAAATTGTACATAATGTCCACACTAACAGTTCTCCAGGTTCCAAAATACTATAAAATCTTTATTTTTGCCGGTAGTTCATTGACTACACTTAGGGTAACACTACAGTCATTAAAAACAAATTGAATATTTAGTACAGAAAACTCTTATTATTGGTATTATCTAACCAACACATTCATATAAATAGTGGAAGTAGGAAAATTCTACAATTTGTTTAAAAGAAAATCTAGCCTGAAAAAACAGGCCGATACTTTTTTTTTAATAAATTAATTTTTATTGGTGTTCAGTTTACCAACATACAGAATAACACCCAGTGCTCATCCCGTCAAGTGTCCCCCTCAGTGCCCGTCACCCATTCACCCCCACCCCCCGCCCTCCTCCCCCTCCACCACCCCTAGTTCATTTCCCAGAGTTAGAAGTCTTTATGCTCTGTCTCCCTTTCTGATATTTCCCACACATTTCTTCTCCCTTCCCTTATATTCCCTTTCACTATTATTCATATTCCCCAAATGAATGAGAACATACACTGTTTGTAACAGGCCAATACTTATAAGCAACCTGGAAATTATTTTGAAACACCTCAATTGAAATCTAAGGAAATAAATATTGATAAAATACTGCAAACTACTTATTAATTAAAAATTACAAAGAGGTTTGGAACATATTCTTCAAAAAATTAAGTCCCAATACAGAAAAATAGTGGGCATATAATTATGGCAAGTTAGATGTAAATAAGAAAATAATCACTAAAAATGATCCTGGGCACACTGTTGTTTTTTTTTTTTTTTTAGAAGCTAAAGGAGAATAATTTATTTATAGGATGTACACCTTTGAATGAATTACCCCCAAATCCCATACAATTATAAAACAGAAGCACTTAAATGAGTTCAATACAATAGAACAGAGTGAACCAATCAAAAAGAATATCCAGACAATGGGTCTCGATTGACTGTTTAAAGCGTGGACCAGGAGAAACCCATTTCTAAATGGCTTTTGAATAATCAATTATTTTTTTGTGTATATATTTTTTGTTGGAGTTCAACATGCCAACATATAGCATAACAACACCCAGTGCTCATCCCATCGAGTGCTGGGCACACATCTTGTAAGGTACTCAGAAGTAAAAGAAAATTGTTTCTTTGCATGTTTTAAATAAGCATATCAAAAAAAGAACATTCTCAAGATAGAATAATTGTTAATATTCTGGAAAAAATCATTCTTGAAAAAAATATCATTCTTAGTAATTATTAGAATGGACTTCCTCTTTGGTAATACTAACATAAAGTAACTTGAAAACTCTTGCATTGGGAACTCTTAAGAATACAGATAAAATACAACAACCATTTTTATAAACATATAAATGAGCTCTTTAAAAAAAATAAATTCTTAGGGGCCAGTAACCAAATGTTTGAGAACCAAGGTGATAATAAGCATTACAGCAGGAGTGGAGTTGGGGAATGCTGGTTTCCATTTTCTTGGTATTTGCATTTTAATATACACATGAGGACAAGAGGACAGTCCTCAACTTATATGTTTGAAGCAAGAGGCTACCACACATGATAGCCTCTACTCTACAGGGTATATTGTAAGTGAAAAGGTATATTATAAAAATCTGCCAATATTTGTCAACTAATTATGATCTACCAATTAGGATTAAGTACAGACATTTTCCACAAAGAATGAGTGAATTTCCAGGTACAGACTCTCTCAGATAGACCTAAGGACACACTTCAGGAAACAAGAAATTTAACCCATGTGGAAGAATGTGACAATAGAAGCTATTGTGAACAAAGATATTAGTTCATACATATGGTTGTTAATTAGATAAAACAATGTCAAGTGGATGAGGACAAGGAGGAGTAGGAAAAAGAGAAGGAGAAACATAGATGGAAAAACCATCTAAAGGCTGAGAAATCAGATGGAACTAAAGTACCAGAAAACAGTAACATGTTACCAAGGGAACAATTAGGATTCAAGTGGTTTAAGTTTCTTGTTTTCTCATCTTTATTTTTCACTTACTTTTCAATTATTATTTTTAATTGTGATAAAATACACACAACATAAAATTTACCATTATAACCATTTCCAAGCATATACTCCAGTGGCATGAAGCACATTCATGCTGTGGTGCAATCATTACCACTTTCCTTCTCCAGAACTCTTTTCATCTTGCAAACCTGAAACTCTGCATCCATTGAGCAATAACTCCCCACTGCCCACCTCCCACCCCACTCCAGGCCCTGACAACCACCACTGTACTTTCTATCTCTAAATCTGACTACCCTAGGGGCCTCAAGAGCCATGAAATCATACAATATTTGACATTTTCGTGTCTGGCTTAAATCACTTAAGATAACATTTTCAAAGGTTACTCGTGATGTATCATGTGTTAAAATTTCCTTCTTTTTAAAACTGAATAATATTCCATTGTATGTAAATACCATTTTCTTCATCCATTCATCTGCTGATGGACATCTTGATTACTTACATCTCTTGGATATTGAGGATACTATGAATGTGGGTGTATAAATACCTCTTAGAGTTCCTGCTTTCAATTCTGCAAAGTATATACCCAGAAGTAGAACTGCTGGACCATAAAATAATTCCATTTTTAATTTTCTGAAGAAGTGCCATAATGTTTTTCAGAGTGGTTACAGCATTTTACACTTTACGTTCCTACCAACAGTGCACAAGTTCTAATTTTTTCACATTTTCACCAACAGTTCTTATTTTCTGTTTTATTGTAGGGTTGTGGGTTTTTTTGTTTTGTTTTGTTTTAATAGTAGCCACTTATTGGGAATGAAGTAGTATCTTTGATTTGCATTTCCCTAATGACTAGTGATGTTGAGCTTGCTGGCCATTTGTATATCTTCTTAGGAGAAATGTCTATTCTAGTACTTTGCTCATTTTGAATTGAGTTTTTATTGAGTTACAGATATTCTTCATGTATCTTATTTAGGGGCTAATTATTCAGAATACATGAAGAATAATTAGCCCCTAAATAAGATATATGATTTGCAACTATTTTCTCTCATCTTCTTAGGAGAAATGTCTATTCTAGTACTTTGCTCATTTTGAATTGAGTTTTTATTGAGTTACAGATATTCTTCATGTATCTTATTTAGGGGCTAATTATTCAGAATACATGAAGAATAATTAGCCCCTAAATAAGATATATGATTTGCAACTATTTTCTCTCATTCTACTGGTCGCCTTTTCACTAAATGACTACGTCTTCCAATGCAAAAAAAAATTTTAATGGTGGTGTAGTCCTATTTATCTATTTTTCCTTTTACTGCCTATTGTCTGGTATTATATCCAAGAAATCATTGCCAAATCTAATGTCATAAAGTTTTCCCCTATCTTTTCTTCTAAGAGTTTTATAGTTTTAGGTCTCATATTCAGGTCTTTGATTAATTTTTAGTCAATTTTTGTATATGGCATAAGATAAACTAAGTTTCTTGTTTGGCTTAGGAATATGGTGGAAAATCTGAGACCCTAGACTTTTGGTAAACTTTAAAAGTTAAAAATTTAAAGATAAACATTAAAATATTTGAAATAGGATGTATAGTTTTCAAAGAAGCAAATAAAATGAGAAATTAAACTTGACCAAGTCAATAGCAGGCAGAAAGGTGGGGGGTGGGAAGGGGGGAAGCATGCATGCAAACAAGCAAGCAAAACTTACAGTAAACAGTGTAAGATCAGATACTAAAAATAATTAAATAAAAACAAATGTAAAAATGCAAAAAAATAGATAATAGGAATAAATACAAATGTATTGATTATCATGAAATTCCTAAATGGATTAAAATTTATCTATTAAAAGACAGCAATATCACACTGGGTGACAAATAAAATCAAAATGAACAAATATTTTTTAAAATTAGCAATAATCTGTTTAAAAGGGATATACCTAAACATTGGACACAGAAAGGTTAAAAGTAAAAGGATGGAAAAGATACATCAGGCAGATGTTAAAAGTAAGTTAAGGGGGGATCCCTGGGTGGCGCAGCGGTTTGGCGCCTGCCTTTGGCCCAGGGCGCGATCCTGGAGACCCAGAATCGAATCCCACGTTGGGCTCCCTGCATGGAGCCTGCTTCTCCCTCTGCCTGTGTCTCTGCCTCTCTCTCTCTCTCTGTGTGACTATCGTAGATTTAAAAAAATAAAAAATAAATAAAGTTAAGGGATCCCTGGGTGGCGCAGTGGTTTAGCACCTGCCTTTGGCCCAGGGCGCGATCCTGGAGACCCGGGATCGAATCCCATGTCAGGCTCCCAGTGCATGGAGACTGCTTCTCCCTCTGCCTATGTCTCTGCCTCTCTCTCTCTGTGTGACTATCATAAATAAATAAAAAATTTAAAAGAAAGTTAAGCTAGCTATATTTCTATCAGTTAAAACAGATTCCTACGGTAAAACTGTTATTAGGGTTTTTTAAAATTCATTAACATAATTGTAAAAGAAAATACTCTGGAATAGTAATTCTGAATAATATACCTAACAATGTAGCTACAAAATGATTATGAAAACATTGATGATGACAAGGAAAAATTAATAAGTTCAGTATCATGGTAAGACTTTTTAAATAATAGATATAGCAGAAAGAAATAAAACTGGTAAGAATATAAAAAATTTGAACAACAAATTAACAACTTCAATCTTATGGACTTACATAGAAACCTGCACCCAGAAATTAAAAAGAGTGTATTATTTTCAAACAAGCAAATAACGCTATAAAAACAAGTCTGTTATAAAGCAAAAAGCAAATCTTGACAAATGCCAGAAAAAAAAATCAAATCAGCCCATTCTCCAGTAAAGTAAAACTGACAGAAATAACCAAATAAGTAAATACTATACT